CTTTTCTTTTCCTTTTCCTTTACTTACTTACTTACCTTAGGTAGATATGTAGATAGGCAAGGTGAGATGAACATATATATATATATGTATGAATTTTTGCCATTTGCGTTGTAAACATGCAATGAGTTCTATTTCTTTTTTTGTATTTTGTAAACCTTGCCTTTTTTACAACCTTTAATTAAAAAAAATTTAAAAATTTTTTTTAAAAAAGGATATGGGGAGGCTGAGTTGCATTTCAAGTGATCGATACTGTAGGTCCTGTGATGGGAAGCTACACAATCACTAACTTTTTAAAAATTCTGGTTTTAGGGAATGATCTAAACATGGAGGACAAAACAAGTCATGAATTGTTAATGAGGTAATTATTATGGATTGCTAGATACAGGCTTATTTTGGAATTATCCAAATTACTTTGTCATTCATTTTACTGTATAGTTTGCACGTAGCCCATGGGACTATATAGCTTGCCACTTGATAAATGCTTGTTTGTGTTTTTTTTTAATCCTTTTGGCCAAGTTGCTCAAGAAAAGCTCCCTTTTCAAATTGTCAAGAAACAATTGTCTTTCTTCATAAAATACAGGGCACCTCAATTGAATACCTCGTGCTGGAATCTATTCCATACCAGTATGAAATCCTTTATAGCAATAACAAAATTAATAATAATAAGCCCACATCCTGTGACAATATCTGTAACACCATCCAAATCCACATTTGCCTGTTCCACTTCCTTGGAAAGAATTTGATAGGTGGGCAAAAATGTCAAATCCAGTCTGAATATCTGTGCAAAGAACCATAATATTCTTCATGGGATTACTTAGATCACTTGCAGACTGTGGAAGTTTACTGGCTGACTAATAGTACAAGATCACAAGCTCAAGGTTGATTTAGCCTCCCAGCCTTCTGAGGTGGGTAAAATGAGGACCCAAATTGTTGGAGGCAATATGCTGACTCTGTAAACCGCTTAGAGAGGACTGTAAAGACTGTAAAGTGATATAAAAGTGCTATTGCTATCAGAGAGTTATATATACTGAAACTGAGGGAAAGAATGGGCTGTATCAATATCTTTGGTAATCTTCAAGGTTTGCCTTTCCTCAGGATGAACAAGGAGCTGCAGAAGGAACAATCCAGCAAGACACTCCAAGAAAATCTACAAGAGTGCTCAGTGCCCCCTTTCAATAGCCATATTATATCTGAGTCACCCTGCTCTCATAGCAACATCTCCTTCCTCTCTGATGGTCCAGACGTCTGTTCTGATGTGGAGGACTTTAGTGAAAATAATATAAGTGAAGGCCAAGTCTACAATGTTCCAAACAAAGGTATAGAACTTAAGATCTGGAGGGATATAATCAGGTTTGGCAAGTAAGAGAAACTGTAACCATGGCTGAAGGTTTTCAATAAAAAAATTGTCCAGGATAGTATAAAGTATCTTGCCTTGGGCAGGGGATTGGACTAGAAGACCTCCAAGGTTTCTTCCAGTCCTATGATTCTATAAATTAATAATTCTTTCTATCTTATTTATTTGACAAATCAGAATAATCTAATTATAAATCAGTTGTTTTCCTTATCATCTTATGCTTAGCTAGTAAAAGAAAAGGTCTAGGACAATTAGCTGCAGCTAGCTTGCCGTGGCCAACTCACCTCTGCTAACTTGCTCCCACCAAGTTTCCACAGGAAAACTCCACACCATCAACTTGCCACAGGGACAACTTGCCACAGGCGGCAGGAGGGGGAGCTGGGGGTGGGCAGAACACACTGCATGATAGCTGGGGGCTTCCCATTTTCAAACTTCTTGTCCTTAGCTGGCTCTGAGCAGAAGAGGCTGGGGGCAGCAGTGGCAATCAGGGCAAGTGGTGGGGAGACAGCAGCAGGTAGGGGCTTCCCATTTTGACATACCCCATTGCTGCCACATTGGGCTCAGGCCTGTCACTCAGAGCCACAGCTAATGCTGTCCTTGGAGCAATGGCGGTGGCAGCAGTTTCAACCCCAGTGCGGCAATATTGTGGAGAGTAAAAATGGAAATCCCTTGGCTGCCATCATATCTCCATCGCACGTTGCAACACACTCTGAGCTCTGCCCACCCGCTCACTCATCTGCCCACCTGGCTCTTCCTTCAGCTGCCTGCAATGAGTTGACTGTGTAGAGTTTTTCTGCAGTGACTTGGGAGCGGAGAGTTGGCAGTGATGAGCTGGTGGCTTTGAGCAAGCGATGGTGAGTTGTCCCATTCCATAAACGGAGTTCCGAAATCTGATATTACTTTGTAATTTTCTTATGAGTGGTATCTTCTATTTCTATAATACAGGTAGTCCTCGAGTTACAAATGTAATGTAGCCTGCCCATTCCATTTGTAACCCAAGAATTCATGGGAATGAATCTCATATCTGGAGCGGGATTACTCCCTCCTTTTGCCCACACATTCGTTAATCGAATGGAAGTCTCATTAAGTGCACATGAGATATTTCAGGGTGGGGAAAGCCATGGGGAGCCTACTGATGGAACAAGTCACCTGCCTAAGACCAACTAAGGCCTCCCTGATCCACTGAAATACCTCCCGCTCCCCACAATTGCTTCCCCACCCCAACGTGCCATGCCGGGTCACTTACCTTGTAAAGATCTAGCAAGCATTCCCATCTGCAGACTTGGGTACCCCTCTGCAGTTCCTGTTGTTGGAAGTACAGATGAAAACACCACCTGTGCTCCTAGCTCCTTAACTTTTTTGCCTATCCACTCATAATCTCTTGATAATGATAATGTTTCTAGGTTCATTGTAGTGTCAGTCTCTACTGACACTACAACAATTTCTTCAACTTGTAAGACAAGCACAAGTGATAGCAGGCTTTCTCAGGATGCCCATACATCATCATTGCTATACAAGCTGTATTTGTTACCAGTCAACTTCCTTCAGCAGTCTAAAATTTTGGTCACCATCTTTTTAAACACTTTTAACAGGTTTTGGGGGTTTTTTATTGTTAGATTTGGGGTTTTTCCAAAGTAGATGGGTATAACAAATTTAACTGATATTCCTGTGCCTTGAATGAGGAGGGAAGAAACAATATAGCTACTAGATACATGTCTTGAAATTTCATCTTGCTGACTGAGGTTCTTCATTTCAACCAGTAAAAATAACTCAAACTTTGTCCTATTTCCCACAGAATTAGCTATTCCTCCAGGGCTTGTATCATCTCCAAAAATATCTTCTCTACATGTATATGCAAGTCATTCATTAATTAATCTTGAATAGCTCTGAGCCCAGAAAAGGGTTCTCATTTGAGATCTAGACTGATACAAATAGTTCATTAGCATGAACTGACCAGTTATTTAACTTCCTAACAAGGCATTGGCCAGTATAAAATATATCAAATATAAAATAATATCATCACAAGTGCTATTGAGAGGGAGATGAGCTTGGTTGTGTGGCTTACTATACTTTCACAATTGTGTCATTTTCAGAGTTATTTCACTTTAATGTTTGCCTGGATACTTTTAGCACTTTAAAAAAGGCCAAGCTAAGCAGCAGGCAGAATTAGCCAGTAAATGGGCTGCCTGCAGCCATACTGCTGCCAATTTCATTTTTGGAAGTGCTGCTGGGCTCCACTAACTGTCTGGCTTGCAGGAACTGTGCTAAATAAGCTTGCTATTATCACCACATCATTGTTTTAAAGAGAAAAATAAAAAACACTTCCTGCTGAATGGTGATGTGTGTAGAAATAGCTCTATCTAGTAGGCATCTCTGAGAAGTTGCTTCTTTTGTTTCTTCTTGCTTTATCTTAAACAATCTGTTATGAAATAAGAATGCCTTCTTAGCTCCTCATCCAAATTTTGGCTCAGCAGCATTCACAATTAAAAGAGGAAGATAAAAGTTATTCTGTTTAACAATCTGTATCTTTTGGGAATAATCTATTTCCTCAGGATGTCCTAATTTAACTTGCCACTCTCTTTGTTTCTCCTCTCTTTTCCATCTCTAGGCTTTTATGATGACTCCTTGTCCAAGCCAACAGGTTTGCTTTTGGATTCACTGGACTCAGAACCATCGTCCTGCGCGTCTTTGGGACCCCCATCTTCATGCTCAAGGCCCCTGCTTGGCTGCTGCATAACACCAGCCTTCTCCCTGACTGAGGCACAGCAGGAGTTGAAGATGCTGCAGCAGCAGCTTGGAGAAAGTGAGCCTTCCTGGCCCAGTCCCCCATGTGGCATGTAGCTTTGCATGACATGCCTAAGCCTTCCTGCATGATGCCTTTATCACTGCCAAGCATAGCAGAGACTATAGTGCTGATGTAGAAACCAGCAGACTGTGAGTGTGTAAAGGTTGCCTCTCCTTTTAGCTTAAGAAAGTGAAGCCTCTTGAAACAAAGTATTTCAAAAGGACGATTTCACTTCTACTTAGTAAAATCTTCCTTTTGAAATACTTTGTTTCAAGAGGCTTCAC